CTGAATTAACCAATCAGAAGTGATGTATGCATCTGGCCAACATCCAAAAAGCAGCAGGAGTTGTTTCTAAAGCAGTCAACTTAAAGCTGCACTGTGGAGTTTTTTTCTTGTAAACAAACAAAAATGATATCTATTTTTCAAGTTTTTTTTTTGTTTATTTCCAAATCCTGCATTGTTTACATGTTGACTTGCTGGCACTCTTTTGCCTGCCTTTGTTGATGCATTGCTATGATTCTTGACACACTGCCACCAAGTGTTGATAAGTGGAACACCATGAAACCAGCAGCCCAAACTAAACAAGCCCCAATAACCCAAAAATATAACAGAAGACTAAGAAAACTAGCCAATAATATATGTGAATGTTGTGTTGCAATTCACATCAATTTCAGAAACAAGGCAAAAAAATAGGCAAAATAGCTTCATAAACAAAACACTGAATGCTTTGTCAATTTTGTTGCACAAACATAACAAAGTTACAGTGCAGCTTTAATATCGACAAACCCAACATTCACTGTCTGAGCTTATCAGTTGAAATAGAGAGAAAAAAGACACAGATTTTAGGCCAGATTAAGTCTGTAGACATAATAAAACCCACGCAGTCTTCTGACCAGGCCACGGATCCTTGACTGGTACTCCTCAGTGCTATTTATAGACGCTCCATGTGCACAAGCTGTGGTCTGTTCCACCTGATTAACCCCTGGACACATAACAAAAGTCAACGTCTGGTATTTGTTAACATACTGTGGCAACACCCCATCGTCACCAGACACGTATGACACTGTTGTATCCTGGGCCACAGCGTCTTTAAAATGTCATTTTGTGCATTTACTTGCGTGTTAAAAAACAGAAAAACTGTCCCTTCTGGTTGCCGTGATCGCACCATCAAGATTATTTAGCACTCTGAGGATGTCTGTAGCGTATTTGCTTTGTGCAGGCATATGTACTGGAGCTTTTCTCACTTCTATGTGATGGCTTGTTTTCTGTAGATGTGAGACTTTGTGTTGTGTTCAGATCGCCTGCTCAGACAGGAATCACCCGGTTGCTATGGCATCATGTAGCGACAATTCCCACAGAATGAATTAAACTGTAAAAAGAAAACTCATGACCTTGATTTGAAATAGCAGCCCAAACTGTGAGCAGCCAGTGGGTAGAAAAAAAACAATGGGGAGGGCGGGGGGAGCAAAGAAAAAGCAGTGTTGTCAATGCACTTGCTGTTTTATAGGGATCACACAGTTTAAAGTACACTGGGAGTTGAACCGATGGTAAGGTTTAAGGTATTAGAAGCAGATAGTTGTTCATTTACCTAGTTTGGCGCTTAAATCTAATGAACGGGAGAAAAGAGAAAGTCTAGACGAGCACTAGACCAGAGGAGGTAGCTTGAAATAGATGGGAGCAACTCGTCTCTATGGAAACCACAGGCGAAAACAGTGGCACACTCTGCCATGAAAGACATGTGGGAGATGAGGATGAAAGAGACAGAGAGAGGAGAGAGGGAGAAAGGGAGAGAAAGGGACGGAGGAGGGGGGGGGAGAGGGGGAGACGCGGCATGAAGAGAAAGAGGGAGAGGATGAGAGGGAACGACGGCAAGCTTACGAGAATGATGTGTGTGTCACAGCAGTAGATATCGATGCCCCCAGTGGGCATTAATGTCACTGGGTTCATCTCTCTTTGAAAGAATTGATTTCATTCCACCAAGCGAACACAATATTCTCCTTTAAGATGCCGTGGGGAGTAATTTCTCAAACAATGGTGCTGATGACACAATGAGACACAATTAAAAGTTATCCCCCCAATTAGAATCGTTATTTGCCAGTGTGACAGGTAATTATTGATGCCGATACCAGCCCCTATTACCATTTTTACAACTATATTTTAGAAAAGGGTTGGTTACCTCCCAAAGAAGGTACAGCGGTCCTGTACGAGCAGCTGTCAGGCTATTGGCAGCGCTTTCCCAACCCGGCTATTACACATTTCAGTTCACCGCAGTGGTCAAGCTAATGTAAACGTTCCAGCCTCAATTCCATCATTCATCACTGTCATTAAGAGACAAGTGGACTGATGAGGGCTTTACCTCTCCAGAGGCTGATTAATGACCACAGTTTGTACATAGGTCAGGACGTAACTGTCAGCAACATCGGAGTGCCAAACAAATCTCGGCTCTAAATTACGTGTTGTGTCTCTATCACAAGTATGAAGCATGGAGGCCAACTTCGGCCAGGAAAAGAATAAAATTGGTGAAAAGTTATGCAAGATGAAAGTAGTTGTAATCAAAAATGCTCATAGAAAGTTACAATTATGAGCTTTGACTCACTCTCTTATGGTTCTGATTAAGTATCTCATTGTTTTGCCTTAACTGGGTTTAAATTACACCATATCATCCCGATAACAGCGCGACAATTGATTCATTTTTTTGTTTGACTTTATTTTGTAATTTGAAGCTAAGTGAGGCTAGCAACATAAGAATCAATGCTGCTAACAGGCTGATTATTGCTGACAAAATCATGGCAAACCTGAATCAGAAGCTGGATGCTCAACAAGAAACCTGCAACCATGCTGCGGAGCCATGCAAGGAAGGTCCAACGCAGAGCACAAAGGCATCCTAGACAGACCTGCAACAAGAGCCCACTGAGCAGCCTGAAGAGAAGACAGAAGCTCCAGCAGGCTCAGAAAGACCTGGAGGAGCAGGCGGCTAAACACGGCCAGGACCAAGCTGTGCTCCAGTGAGGCCCTGAAGGAGAAGATTGCAGTGAAGGCCCCACCTCGCACTGCTGGAGCAGCAACACAGTGAGAACAAGAAGATCATGGCTGAACTGGCAGAGAAGGATAAGATCTCCCTTCAGCACACTCTGCAAAAGAAAGAAGAGGAGTGGACTCCAACAGCCATGGCGGCCAGGTTGAATGAGTCCATGATGAAGATGGTGTTGGACAAAACGTCCAAGAAAAAGATAAAATGCTGGCTGGTCAGGTTGTTCACTAGCCCAACGACAGCAGAAGAAAAGACTGCAGAACTCGTCTCAATTTGATTTTATTCTATATTATCAAGCAGTCAAGCAATAAAAAAAATTATTAAACTTAATATAAAAGAAAAATGTAAATGTAAAGGTTCAATTCTGTAGAAAATGACACATTCAAAGCGCTGACAAAGGTCATGTTGGAGAGGAAATATGCAATTTAAGTGTGTTAATGGTGGTTTTGTGCAGATTTGTACAGATATTTTTCAAAAAACGACATTGTGTGTTATGTCCAATACTGAATATATGTTCAATGTTAAAGTATTTAAGTGTCTGTCTGAGAATTTCTAACTAGTCCACTGAATTTCAGAATAAAATATTGCATTCTTCCACTTCACTGCATACATTTCATGACTACAATTATTTCCCAGAATCAGATCTCACATTTTTAATATATGATGCGTTCTTTGAATTTCATGTTCTGCAAAGAGCAACAGGATTATTTGCTCTCAGTATATTTCTTCTTATAATCAGTGGGGGGAAAAAAGAGACTCAGACATTTCTTCAATCATGTGCATTAACAAGTGTTCAGACTATTATTCTTTCTAACCATGAATCAAATAAAAAGATATATGATAAAGTTCAGATGCCATCAAAACAAATTAACACTGTATTGTATGTGTTCAATAAAAGTCAAGACATTTTATTTTTTCATGTGTTGCAGACATCCTTCCCACTGTATTAATAATAGTAGATAATGGTCTCATCTACTATTTGCTAGAGCTGACTAAATACCTTCAAAATAAAGTATTTTAAGTAGCCTGAAATTGTACAGAAAGAATTGGGTAGCTCAAGGCTGATGGTACTAACACAAAGCCAGAAAATATTCATCTTTCAGTTTGTTTTTTGTTAAATGTTTCATTTCTTGGGTTTCACACATCGCTCTTGACCATAAAAAAATCCATCTCAAATAAATACAGACATACCTTGTCAATCATTACATGAATATGTTAATACATATTCATTTAAATGTCAAGGATAAACAGCATAAAAAGGATACAAGGAAACATTTTCCTTTCATTTTAATGGAGATAAATGTGCAGATTGCTAAGAGTGCCTTTTTATTACAATGGACTTCTGAACCATTTGGTTAAAAAAACAAAATGCCAAAAAATAAATAACATTTTCATTGCTTTTTTTATTAAAGAGTGCAATGTCTCACCTGGGTCTCATCTTCAAGACACCAGAAACAGATTAGCCTCGGTTTTCATACAAAACCTGTGTCCAAGGTCTAAAATAACAATTACAGTCACTCAGATTGTGAAGCAATTTTAAGTACAGTAACCAAACTTTTCATTTGTGAAATGAATGGTATGGTAGTGTTTCTTGAAGATGTGTTTTTAGCTGAAAAAACAATAATACCAAGGTTAAGAGAAATGGCTGCCCCCAAATTTGCTCTTGAAGTCACAGATGATTATATTACCTGATAGACGATATTACAGATTACTGCTCAGCTGCCACAGCTTTTGCTTCTTGCGGCTTACTATGTAATTTCAGAAAGGTCTCATTTCTATCTATGTAATGTGGAGAGAGTTCATTACCATCAGAGATATACAGGAATACGGGGCCATGCTTTTTACTGCATGCTTGCTGGATTATGGCTGCACTACTTGAGCCACTTCAGAGACAGGTCATGTTTGAGTCATGAGGCATCTCCTCAGGATTTGCCTCCATAATTTTGACTTGGCTCTACTGTATTAACCCTCAAATCAATTTCGGACACACATTTTTATCACATTTAGGATTGTAAAGATTGTCTCTGCTTCACCACAATACAAAACAAATCCCCACTACAGCTGTTTAATAGAAGACAGGATTGATGCAAGAATGGGGACATCTACCCAGAATACCCCATATGCATTATTAATAGTGATTAATAAACCTCTGTCCACATGTTATATAATCACTGACTTCTGCCTGGGTCACCCCAATGCTGACCAGCTATTCATCATTGCTCCTGCATTCCTAACACACGCATTCTCTGCCTAGGTATCACCACAGTGCTGACCATGACCACCCTGAGCACAGTGGCCAGGAACTCGCTACCTAGAGTGTCCTACGTGACGGCCATGGACCTGTTTGTCACCGTCTGCTTCCTCTTCGTCTTTGCCGCCATGATCGAGTACGCCATGCTCAACTACTACTCCTACAGTGTACGAAGACCTCCTCCCAAGACACAGAGAATGGTAAGCCCGTGGTGAATGTGTAAGTAAACAGGCTGGTACTGTATATTAGCTCTGGCTTTGACTTTGACTTGAGACTCAAACAACCACAAAGAGACTCAAAACAACCACAACGAGACACAAAACAAGCACAGAAAGATTCAAATGAGCACAAAAAGACACAGAACGACTACAAAAAGGCACAAACTGAGACACAAAAACAACGACAAAGACACACAAATAAACTCTATAGTTTTTCACTCTGGGTTTCTTGTTCCTATGCAAGAGGGGTGCCGGACTTTTTTTTCATGCCGAGGGACCAATTATCTCATAATCCATCCATGTATATCACAACTTTATTAATTATGATAATTTGAAACCGGTGTGCAAAATATAATAAATCTTATTACGGAGGCAATTTCTTGAGAAGACAAAAGTGAAAACCTTGCAGATAAATATCTCATTAGTTTAAGGATACTAGGTTCATGGGTGCCATGGCAACATTTGAGGCTGTCAAGACCCCCGGGCATCCATGGGATCGTTACCAATGATTGTGATATAGCTGTCTGCACAAAGAAAAATTAAGGATACAAAGGAACTAATGCTTGAAATTCTGGGTATAGTCACTATTTGTGATGAGCCAATCTAAAGTGAGTGTTTGCGTGCCGATGTGTGTGGTTCAGGTTCTTACCTGGTGTCATACAACGATCTAAGGGTTTCTTCAAAGGCTTTTTAAATCCACTGAAAGTAAAATTCTTGTAATCTTTTCAGTGAAAATTACATAGCATAGAAAAAAAGCAGTTGAATGCTGGCTATTTGCGACTCCAGTCTAATAACACCATTCAGAAACTTATATTGATGGTATCCATAGGGTGCCAACATATACAAGCATATACAGTGCACAATGTCTTCCCAGGCGTCTGACATGGGTGTGTTTTTTGAGCTTGTGTGAGGTTAAAAAACATTTATTTTTCAGCAATTGCGAGAGCCTAATGCTCTGTGTGGGCAAGGCTGTACCTGCCGCGAATACTTTAATGGCAACAGCACACATGTACGACGACTGAGTCAGCCACCGCTGCTGTCATTTCCCTCTCTCCAGATCCCCTCCTTCTTCATTATTCCCTCCCAGTGTAGAGGAGTTCTGTTGAATGTGTCTCAGGGCTGAAAAGACTGTCAGCTCAAGCCGAACAATTAAGTTGCGTTACAGTCAGTCCCCTCCTCTGCATTTCTGGCTCTCTGCTGTATTTTGGCCCGATGTGTCTGTCTGTGGGGAAGCCTCATGTTTCCCTCCCTCCCTCCCCCCATCCGTGTGGCCCCTTTGTGCCACCCACTCAGTCAATTCTGTTACTCCACACGACTCTCTCTTTCTCTCCCTCTCTCGCCTCCCACTCTTCCTTTAAGAGCCAAGTAGAGGACTAGAAAAATGTGTGAAGATTTTACCCCAATTAGGTTGTCCCACACGGTTTCATAAACATCAGTGAGGAAGTCACATAATGACTTTTCTCAGGAGGGACGTATTCAGCATTCCAGTCTAAAGAATCAGGTTATAGCTGCAGTGTGTGACTATAACAAAGATTCAAAATAATGACTAACAATGCTTGTTGTTATTTGTTTAAGGTTTTTAAATCCGCCATTTTACTTCCAGTTAAATATGTGTAAACATAAGTATTGATTCAAAAAACTATTTCCAAGAGTAAATTTTAACTTTTTTTTAAAACCCTAGACACGCTAGACAAAAACATATCGATTCACCAAAGCTTTTTGCATTGCCGGGCCCGTTTGGTCGTTTGGTTTGGTGTATTTTTGATCGTGTAACAATAACTGAACGAATGTAGAGAACGGTACATCACTTTGAGATCTATTGAGCCCATCAATAGTGGAGTTTAATAGTTTTTCTGCAATCTAAAACAATCAATAAATACATGTCAGGGATTTGTGTCTTTTATAGACTTGCCATTTTGCACTAATGATCAACCACACAAACTGTAACCCTCTAAAAGTGGCACAATTTCAGCACTTTGATGGACCAGACTAATATGCAGCGAAAAGGCATTATGCAGTTGGCATGGTGCCACCATGATGAACACACCCTAATTTTTATAAACAAGTATTGTTCTATTGTTATTTTTAGCTATATTTGTTTAAAAAGTAATGGTCTTCTGCTTGAGAGTAATCAACACCTGAACAAAATTTTCTTCTGCACGTCAGTCGTCCATAACAGACCGCCACTATCCCCTGCCCTCCCTCATAGTTGTGTTGCTACAACTTTCCTTTTACACAGTTTTCCTTTCATTCTTGCACATGTGCCCTCAGAATTTTTAGTAATTTCTGAAACAATGAGTCCTTGATTTCAGACAGTGAAAGACAAAAGCAGGCTTCTCATTTCTAGCCGGCTATTGTCAGCTCCATCAGTTGAAATGACAACTGTTGGCTGGCAGATTTGATCGACGCTTGCTAATTAAGTTGGGTGGGTTGTCAAAGACTCATTTTAAAACAAGAATCATCTAAAAGAGGCCTTAAATGTACACATGATACATGATATAATGCTAAATGATTGAGGCTAAAGGTAAATGTCCCAAGTGAAATGTCAGCATTTTCACTAGTTGATGATCCATGGACAAGACATTGTGATTGTGAACAGGAACTAATGTGTTTGGCAATGCTGGGTAATGAGTTTGGCTGGGGTTGTTGGAGTGTAAGCTTCCTCGAATCCAATAAAGAGCAGGACAGAGCTGCTAACGTTAGCTAAAACTTTAGTAGCATCTGGGACTGACACATTGGAGGAATACCACAGTGGATGTGCTAAACTGTAATCCTATAAACTAATGGTGGTTTGTTAATGATGTGCTCCTCGGGGCGCCCTGGTGGCTCGTCTGGTGGAGTTCTTGGGCTGAGTCCTTGCTGCAGTGGCCGTTGGTTAGACTTCAACCTCCTTTACTGCGTGCCAAACACATAGTTTATCTGCACTTTTGCACTTTTGTATGTTGTGGAAAGGTGAAAAAAAACAGCACCCATATTGAGCATAGCCACAATTAGGCTATGCTATGATTGGACTATCACTGCTCAGGCTTACCAAACGGTCAGTTCCTCCACCATAATGCTGTCTTTCTGTCATCCCATACAGACCTACTCATCTTTCCACATGGCTCACACCCCTCGGCCCATGATGCCAATGGGCAACTCCCTGTTCTGGCACGACTACGAAGACAACTGCCTGTACGAGTGCCTGGACGGGAAAGACTGCACAAGCTTCTTCTGCTGCTACGAGGAGTGTAAAGAAGGCGGCTGGAAGAAAGGACGGATCCACGTCAACATCCGCGAGCTGGATTCCTACTCCCGGGTTTTCTTCCCCACATCCTTTTTGCTCTTCAACATAGTCTACTGGGTCAGCTACCTCTACCTCTAGTCGGTCTCGGGCAGCGATCCGTGAGCCCTGCTGAACCAGCTACAGTCCCCCGCCACTTTGCACCGCGGCTCGTGATTTAGGGTCAAAACTGAGCGTGGAGGAGGAAATGAGGTGGATCTGCTTTTTGGGAATTGTGAAGGCGTGCCGCCTATTGAGTGGTATAAGTAAAAAAATTAATTAAAAAAACACACGTGTGCTGTGGCGCACAATGTAAAGGCCATGATACTTTGAGCAGTGGCACTCCAGGGAGAATAAAAAGCTCAGCAGTGGAACAACAAGCCGCCAGCATTGACTTGAATGGATTGGTCCCGTTTTTTGACTCTCTCAGAAACCAAACAACTACGACTTCAGAGACGTTCTGGGACGGGGGTTGCATTGCTGTATCTTGGTCGTCGAGATGGCGAAGCACCCATAGTGCCTTCTTTAGAAAGGGTGCGGCACAGAGAGACGCAGCTTCAGAGTTCCCTCCATTATCTTTATTACCTCATCCACCACAACGCCGCATGCTGAGCTGTTTATTCTTTGAGGAAACAAACCCGGGACACCACCACTGGAGATGTTTAAAACTAGCACTCACCATTCATTTCGTAGCACATTAGTTTTAGTTGTACTCTAGGATTAGTTCTACTTTCTAATACAGTAACGTTTTCTTATTCTTCTTATTATTATTAGAGTTAGTTGTGTTTTCACAGCAAGTCAAGCAGCTCACACATCAGCTGTTAATTGTTGAATATGAGTTAGTGTCAGGGGCAGTGACTGTCTGGTAAAATCTTTATGAAGTCAGTGAGCTTTTGATCATTATGCTTTATGACTAAGCGATGCAGTTTACAGTAGATGCCAAGAAGATTTTGGGTGTTTATGCTGGGTTACATTCTTTAACACAAAGGTATAAGAACTGCATAAATACATACCAATCTAATACTAAACATGCTAATCTCATCCCCGGGCTTATTATGTATGTTACAGTAACTGAATAAACAGATTAGGGTTAGAGCAGTGCTGGTTTCTTCCCGACGACAGCTATATGAAAACAGTGTCACATTTTATTTCACACATTTTTATTCTTATTTATGTGGAGTTTGGTTTTATCATTAATAGGGCCTGTGGATTACCTCGGTTTAACGGAAAAGTTTAACATATTGGGAAAAGGTGTTTATTTGCGACAGTTTTATATTAGAGATGGGCTTTTATTTCTAATTTCCCCTGATCCCCAGTTGATTCATTTCCAAAGCACTAGCTCATCAGTACAGCAAGAGTCATGTCAGGGACTGCGCTTTACCTTATTCTCGAACAATGTACAGCTGCCGTGAAACTCACTCCATCCAGAATTTTCACATTAAAAGTCTTGCAGCCTTCTTTTTATAGTGAGCTGAAATAGGCTTTTAATGTGAAAAAAGCACAAGGGAATATTGAGTTTTGTTCGCGGTGACTTAACAACGATCAGGAGTGAGGCAAAGAAGCAATGACATGGGCATTTATTCACTGTCTTGCTGAGAAGACTGATACCACTTCTAGACTGATTTATAGTTGTACATAGGCTCTATGTCGAGCCTACAGCGTAGCCCACACAAGTCACCTACGCCGTTATGAGCATTTATACTTGTGCGCTGCTCTGTAAATAGCTCTACCAAAATGTTAATTTGCAGTGGGGTTTCTGTGCAACTGTGTTGAGTTTTTTGACTGAAACTCTCCTTCGTGTCTCTCCTCAGTATGTCTCGCAAAGGCGAGGAAATGCGAGGGGACAGACATGAGCATGTCATGCAGCGAGCCAGCGTCCCCCGTGTGCCCGTTTGTCTGCGTGTGTCAGGACACACTTGTCTCAGAATGAGTGGATTTGAAACAGCATTATTAACTTATCTGGGTTTTGCATGAGACACTTCCCATTCTCAGACAATGCTCACACACACAGACACACACTGAGCAGATCAAGCAGTTGTTGGGGTCCACGTCACCACGATGTGTAGTTACACTTCTGGGGAGGTGCACATCAGGCTATGGCATAGGCTAACAGTATTAATCAGGGTTTACCATCATGTTTTCATCCTAGTTACGAAGCTATCCCCGGCACAGCTCATTTAGCTTAGCACACAGACTAGAAACAGTGGAAAAAGCAGCCTGGCTCTGTCCAAAGGCACAAGGAGGAATCCACCTGCCGGGAACCTCCCAAGTGTTTACCGTCTTTCTTGTGGAGCTTCGTGCTTGGGAGGGGCAGTAACTATTGTGCGTTGCCTGGCAACTGGCTTTGGCCAAGTAAATAGTTTTGGCAACTTGTAACTCGAGCCAAAAAGGTCAAAGTTTTTACACTTCTGATCTTTGTCGCATAGATTTTAAAGAATAAATAAGATTAGGAACGGGCTTAACGGCTGGACAGCTTTTGTAGGCTGCCTATCTCCGGTATAAATCAAAGCCTGGCTAGTTTGTTTCCTCTTTTTGTCCAGATCTTTTGGTGCTGTAAAAGCTGAAATTCGTTAGCGTGGCTTGCAGCTTCGACTATTTACTGTAGGCAATAGCCAGCCAGATGAAGGACGGTGTCAACCTCATTTCATCAATCACTCTGTTGGCAAGAAGTGGAGCCCACCACCTTTTCCAAAATGTAGAACTGGTTTCAATGAAGGGTTTCAGCTGCGTATGATCTCTGGTAAACACAAAATCATTTTTCATTGGCATGAAAAGTTGCCTCAGTTTGATATATTACAGTTATAGTATGTTGGGTATCGGCCAAAAGTGAGCTGTGCAGCAATTATTAGTTCTGGCCACAAGGCCACGCTTACGCCTTTAAGCATGCATACAAAGTTAGTAGTGATATTGTACTATTAGTGAGTATGATATATATCACGTGCTAACATGGCCTGATATTATTTTTGGCATTAGTCATTCTCATCCCAGTTTCAGGAGAGCTGGAGCCGTACATAAAATTGGAGGCATGGATGGAAAGCTTAATTTATTTTCTGACGGTTCCTGCCATTGGCAGGAGCTTTAGCCATCCCTCCTGTGGGCCCAGCTGGCAGATGATCCACAGTGGTTGCTGTAAAAATCTGTAGGTTCACCCGTGTATAGTATTGTGATACTCCATCACGTACTGGTTATACAGAGGCGCGTGGGGTTGAAAAATTGGATGATCCAGGGGAGGCGTTTCGTTGATGACTCGTTGCATGGAATGTTCCCCCCCACATTCAAACTCCGCGAAACATGTAAAAGTTGATTGCCATATATGGAGGATTACGGACTCGAAAAAAAAAACCCACGTGGGACGGATCGCGTTACCCGACGTGTTGAAATCTATTTGGTGTTTTGATTTTACTTTCGTATTGGT